GGCTCTAACAGATGAATATTTGTATCAAAAGGACGGAGATGCTTAAAAACTAACCGCAGATTCACCAAGTGGAAGAGAAACTCTGCCAATTTTTAGAATTCCAGAAAATTCCTGCAGTTCACTGAGAAATTAGGAAACAACCACAAAGCAGCATAGACAAAACACTGTCAAGAACACTGAGGTACCTGAATTGGGGGCTTATGCTGAGATTCTGGAACCGCAACATTCCAAATTCGAGCCACAATTTCACAAACTGTCACTCGATTTTGAGTTGACATATAAGACGCAGAGAATATATCTGCTGCCTGTGGAAAAGGCACAAAAACGCCAAATTAAATAAATAAAATTATAATAAGAGACTAACACAAGAGAACTTTTAAGAAACAGACCTCCTGAAAAATTGCAAGGCCATCATAGGAAGACAGACCATGAACTCGTTCACACCACTTGAGCAGATCTCTGTAAATGATGACCATTCAGAAAGAATCGAATGACCAATCCATTAACAACAAGAAAACTCATGGATATATGCTCACCTCAGTGAAAATCTACTTGGAGAATTGAAAGTAGCTGAATTTTCGATTTTTGAACCAGAAAACTGGGGACGAAGAGAATAGTTGACAGTTTCATAAGTTTCTGCAAAAATGGAATAGTTTCACTGTGAGTACAGAATCCATGTCAAGGACGCATGTGCAGGAGAAACCTACCAATAAGTTTCTCTGCAACAGGTATCAAGTTTTGATACCGAGCACCCAGAATATTTTGCAAGCTTTCCCGATCTGGTGGATAAACAACAATTCTCCTCCAAAGAGGACTTAGAGAATTTCCAGCTACAACCAAGAAAACCAGACAAAAAAATGATAATAAGTTTTCCTGAAATGAATCTTATTTGCAAACATCAAGAAAATGAATCTTATTTGCAAACATCAATAAAATTGAATATTAAATCTAGCACACACTTTAAGCTATATAGGTTGGTTTACAAAAGGTCATATTAATCAACCACTACATCACACTACTGCTGCAAGATCACAGATATCAATGGTGTATCTAGGGAAGGATCAGGCTAACGAATGCAACAGCTAGGCTCTCAAACTAATTAGTGTCTGCAAGATATACCTTCCCTGATGTGTGATACACTGCATTCGGGTGTAGATATGGTTGAAAACAGTTGAAAACTCTCTGCTATACGTATCACCTGCAAAAAGAATAAAAGTTAAAAAGCTCTGAAACTTGGAATAAATCTTAGGATAAACACAAATACCTAAAACAGTAATACAAAAGGTGTGCCCAACAACAATGTTCCAAATAAGAAGAGAGCAGCAAAATGAAAGTAGTTACCTCTCCATGGCTGGTCTCGAATGAGCATGAGCCTCCCAGCAAAGGTGACAAGACGAGGGGAACATCTGATGGAGCTTTGTCTATGTCCTCAAGAACCACCCAGAAACCATTCATAATAGCCTGCCAAGATGAAAAATAAAAATGCTTATGTAACCGTAGGAGGATAGATACTGCCAGGCTACCATCTGAATTCCATGCAACTAACCTGGGTAAGTGACCCAGGCTGCCATCTGAATTCGCCAGGTTGATCAGTACACACATAAGTGCCAACCAACGTTTTCCCATCGAGTTGATCATCCATGTGGATATGCACAACTATCAAAATTAAAAGAAAGTCATCAAGTAGAAACAAAATATACTGAGTAATCAGTTAGTTTAAGGCCCTCATTTTTACAATGGAAATCCATGTCAAGATAGTTGCTTTTCCCCGTCCAGTAATGTAGAAAGTTCCTTGGAAGTAGCCAAGTACAAATACATTTGGGACCACTACACGTAGATATTAAAAATATACCATACCTTGGTTACCACTTTCATCAGCCAACTTTCTAACGAGAGCAGACTTTCCAGCGCCCGAGGGACCATATAGAAGAACAGGTCGTTTCTGACTAACAGCCAATGAGACCATTTCAAAAGATTTCTTCACCCTAGAGTGGATTTCAAATGGTTCAGAGAAAAATTTGGCATCCCTGAATTAAAGAGGAAGGAGGAATTCAACCCGAAATGAGAAAATTAACATCAAGTACACGTGGCAAAAGTGGAGAAAATTATTTGAAAAGAAACACAAAGTGAACAGACCAGGTGTCCAGCTTCCGATTCTTCTTCATCGGCTCCTTTTCTGCAGATTGTCGCTTGCGAACCCCAGGTACAAGGGTACTAAAATGTTGCAAAGACCTCAACCCAATGTATGTTGGCAATTGAATGTATAATCCAGCCTTTTCTATTTCTATATCCTGACAAAATTCCTCCCAGCTGAATGTATGAAAGAAAATTACCCTTTAGAAACAAAACTCAGACAAAATCGAACTAAAAGTCTTGAGTATAGCTATAAGAGGATTACCGTAGCAAGTATGAGAGTGCTTCCTCTCCTTCAAAACCATAATATCCTGCTACTCTGTCACTGCGTCTCAAAACAACAGATAGAATTTGTATCCCACACCACACAGCCTCTCGATGCTTTTCCAAGATAGCCTTTTTTGATGTAGGACAGTCTGAGAGCCTTTTCATGGAGTCCAAGTAACTGGACCAATCCCACAACTTAGAGAAAACCTCAGGTCTAATAACAAGAAAACGATATGATACTTGAAGACAAAGCAAATATGCAGCTGTAGTAGCCTGATTCAGGAGAGAAAAAAATAATCAATGTAACCGACCATAGACTAGAAAACGGGTGTAAGAATACCAACGATGTCATATAATGTCAAAGATAACAAGCAGACCTCCATGTGCAACTCAGAAATGATTTCCTTGACAAGAATTCGCTGGTATGGTGGTGGTGCTTTCTTAAAATAACTTAAAACAGAGCTGCAAAATTAAGCAAGTTTCTGTTAGGAGACTAGTCGAGCTATTTAAATTAAACCAAAGCAACTTTTTTACAGATTTCTTAGCTCTAACGCTGGTTCACATGAGTGATCTCATCTTCGGAAATATGGGTACATATATATAGGGGATAAAGTAAATACTCCCATTACCCTAGCAAAGTCGTATTTAAATGAAGAGCACGACTGAAGGCCAAGCAAGCACACTCATGAAGCTCCAGCCTTTGTCCACGCCGAACATAAAAATCAATCACACTAACACCTTCCTTCATGGCATTTTCCAAGACTGACCACCCATCGTCCGAGTAGTCAATACTTGAGCTTAGATCACCCACTAAACGAAGAAGACCCACCACTCTATCTACAACCCTTCTTAGTATGGGAAGGAAGCAATGAACCAATGGAATTGTATACTCCGGGTGAAGAAACACATCAGACAAAGCATTAATCACCTCTTCGTTATCCACCACTTCTCCTCCCTAACAAAAACCAACACCCATCAAACCAAAAAAAACTCGAACCCATGTTTCTGGGTCACGTTTAGTAACAGTTACTAGGACTTACCTTGTTGGTAATCGAAATGAGAAAAGGCAAAGCTGCCACCTTTGGGCAAAGTTCATAAAACGTCTCAAACGCAAGTTGAAGACTGAAACCCCCATCAATAGCCATCGAAATCTGTTGAACAAAGATAGAGCAAGGGACACGAAATTAGGGTTTAATTTGAAAAAGGCGATCAATTTCGAGACAACGAAAGGGAAACAAAATTAGGTTAGCAATCGTCTCTTTGCTTAAAATCCTTTATAAGACATTGATGAAAATTGAAATCGACGCAAGACTTGAGAAAGGAAGAAATCTTACCTAGAGAAACGAAAGCAATTGGGAGATTTGAGGACAAAATTGTGTGTTGCGAGGAAGAATGAAGGAGAGGAACGCCGCAAAGAAGCTTTTAAGGTTTAAGGCTTTCTCTGTTTGAGCCAAGAAGACGGTGAGGGTTTAAGCCCTATTGGAGAGAACAAAAAAGAAAAATACAATATTGCTAAATGAGCCCTCATATTTCTCAAACATTGTAAAACATTCACTCTATTTTGTTTCAATTGTTTTTAAATCCTCGTTTGCACGGTTATAATGAAACGCCGCGTTTTTAAGCATTTGAATGTTCGATACGGAAGCTGTTTCTCACGATTGGTACCTGTTACACGTTTATGATCTCCATGATACTCGGTAGCATGTCAAATCCGAATTTTGGTTCGAATTTTCTGGTTTTGTGGCTTATAAAAAAAAAAATATATATATAAGGAAACTAGGCAAGACCCTGCGCGGGAGTGAACTTCTCGAGAAAGTATATTGCTATAATTAACATGAGAGAAGACTGTGAGTCCTTATATTTCAGAGGATGATCCATTGGATAATAGAATAAATTCAGAACACCATCGGAAAAAAAAATAAGTCTACTATGTTTTCATAGAAACCGGAGGTAAGACACCATA